GGGTGGGAACTGGGTGGAGGGGAGCTATGGGGGGAAAAAAGAGGAACAACTGTAATAATCTGAACAATAAAGATTTATTTTTAAAAAATCCCAATAAGATTAAGGGATGGAGACTAAAAAAAAAAAAAAATGACCATCACTCCAACACAGAAGATGGCCACCCCCATGTGGACACAAAATGGCTGCCACAAGATGGCTGGCAGGGAGGACAGTTAGGGGCAATCTGGCCGGCAGGGGAGCAGTTAGGCGTTGATCAGGCAGGCAGGCAGGCGAGTGGTTGGAGCCAGCAGTCCTGGATTGTGAGAGGAATGTCGGTGGATTGGGCCTAAACAGGCAGTCGGACATCCCTCGAGGGGTCCCAGATTGGAGAGGTTGTAGGCTGGGCTGAGGGACAGCCCCCCCCCACCCCATGCACGAATTTCGTGCACCGGGCCTCTAGTCTATATATATAAAAGCCTAAGTGACCGTTAGGACAAACGACCGGAACGACAGGTTGATCAGTCACTATGATGCACACTGACCACCAGGGGGCAGATGCTTAATGCAGGAGCTGCCCCCTGGTGGTCAGTGCACTCCCACAGGGGGAGCGCCACTTAGCCAGAAGCCAGGCTCAGGCTGGTGAGCACAGCTGCAGTGGCAGGAGCCTCTCCTGACTCCACGGCAGTGCTACCAAGCGGCAGCGGGAGGTGGATCGGGCCAGCATGAGCGCAAGCAGCGCAGGGCTGGCTCAGGCTCCACCCTGGATGCCTGCTGCTTGGCACCTGTGGGGATTGGGCCTAAACCAGCAGTCAGACATCCCCCGAGGGGTCCCGGATTGTGAGACAGTGCAGGCCAGGCTGAAGGCCTCCCTCCCCTATGCACGAATCCATGCACCGGGCCTCTAGTATTATATAAATATAACGTCTAAGCAACCGTTCAACCGGTAGCTATAATGCACACTGACCACTAGGAGGCAGATGCTCAATGCACAGGCATGGAAACATGGAACAGACTGATGAATCTCAGAGGGAAGGGGGGAAGGGGGAGGGCGGGAAGAGATTAACCAAAGATCTTATATGCATACTAGAGGCCCGGTGCACAAATTTGTACACCAGTGGGGTCCCTCGGCCTGGCCTGCAGGGATACGGCCAAAACCGGCAGTCTAACATCCCCTGAGAGGTCCCGGATTGCAAAAGGGCTCAGGCCAGGCTGAGGGACCCCACTGGTGCACGTGCACCGGGCCTCTAGTATTACATAAACTTATGGAAAAGCAGTGGCAGGATTTGAGAGGACTAACTCCAGTTTCAAAAGAAGTTCTACTATGGGTAAAATGCTATCAAACAGCATCACATGCTACAAAGAAATTGTTTGTGAAAGGAAAAGTCAATTGATGCAACAGACTTCATTGTTGTCTCATTTTAAGAAATTGCCACAGCCACCCCAACTTCAGCAACCCACACCCTCATTGTCAGCAGCCATTAATATCAAGACAAGACCACTCACCAGCAAAAGGAATTTGACTCACGAAAGGCTCAGATGATTGTTAGCATTTTTAAACAATAAAGTATTTGTAAATTAAGGTATGTAAATTTTTAGACATAATGGTATCGTACACTTTGACTACAGTATAGTACAAACATAACTTTTATATGCACTAAAAAACCAAAAAAAGTATGACTTTTATTGCAATATTCACTTTATTGCAATGATCTAGAATAGAACCCACATATCTCTAAGGCATGTCTATAAGCTCTAAAAGGAATACTAATGATATAGTTTAAATCAGCTTAAGAAAAAAGTTGAAAATATTCTTAAAATGACATTTTACCAAAATAATCCCCTAGTCTCCCATACAACACTTTTTCTAGCTCCCTTGTTCTCAAAGGCAAACATCTGCCTATGGCAATCAGCCAATATGCAGGAAGTCTGAATTGTGTCTTATTACTAAACAACTTCAAGAGAATGGCAACAGAACCATTAGAAGACACTATAAAAAGCCACATGAGAGCTCTGAGTACCTACTCAAACTAAAAAGTGGCTCTGAAGAAATAGAATTAGTTTGAAGCTCCTCTACATTTATATAGTAACCAATTTAAGGACATTTTATAACACCGAGATTTTTTTTTAAAAAATCAAAGAATCTTAGCAAAGAAATCTAAAAATGACAAACATGTACAAAGAAAAATTTTTGCATACAAAACTGTTAAATATTTGTGGCTGACAGAATTTTCAACTATAATGATATACATAGGACTCAATTTTCAACTGGCAATAGGTACACTCATTCTTTATGTTCAGTGGATGCTGAAACATAAATATTCAGTTGACTCTTGACTAATGGGGGGATTAGGGACACCAAACACCTGCTCCCAACCTACAACTTGAGTTGACCCGCTGTATATGTAGATTCCCAAATATGGATCGCAATACTATTGTTGATTCACAGTTGTTTTATCCATGGATGCGAAATCTGGTGATAAGTAGGTTATGCTTATTGAAAAATATCTGTGTATGTGTGGACCCACACTGTTCAAACCCATCAAGGATCAACAGTAATATTATCTCTCAGCACCTTTAAAATATCAACAATGGAAATAAAGTTATTTTTGGTCTCCTGAGTTTAAAGGGCAAGAAAAGCCACATTAATAAGAAAAAGAGTGCAGAATGTAAGTAGTGGAAGTTTACTCACTGATTTCAGAGTATCTAGTTTATATTTTTGGTCTTGTCACCATATCATTGAATGCTTTCAACCAGGTAATTTTACATTTAATTCCAATTGTGTAAATTAAAAAAAATTGAGGTCCAGGCTTAACTCCCCTGGGTTTCTTTACATACATACAAAACAAGGACAATATTAAATAGCTAGCCTATCTAATGGGGTTAGATTAAATAAGACAAAAAAGAAGTCATCTGAATGGTATCAATGAAAATGCCCCACCTTCCTAAGGGCTAAAGTGAAAACCATGTTTCTAATTTTAATAATGTAAGAATTATACTTTTTCAAGAATGAAAAGAAGAGCATTAATCCTGGCCACAGCACTTTGCCTACATTTATGTTATGGTAAAACCACATGTTAGAATCACTGGATAAAGGGAACTGGTTTTGACAAGTTCAATCTGTCAAAAGAATACTTTTCAATGATTTCATCACTATTATGTTACACAACACTATTTTCTACTATAAACTACAAATTCAGAAAAGCTATGCAACAAAAAGAGAGCAAAGCCCTAACAAATGTGACAAGCAAATCTGACCATCCAGGAATTTTCTGTATAGCATCTCTTTGGCATGAAGGTGAATAGAAATAGAGATATTTGTACTAGTAATTGTGATCATTCTACCTTGAATACGACTGATTGCAGAAGGAAGTTATTCTAGTGCTTCTCCTCTGAGATATCTTAGAAATCTTTCCTGTTCCTAAGCAGAATTTATAACAGCAGCTACATAAATATCTTTAATAAAGGAAAACAATGTAGTTAAAACTGCTTTGTTTCTTAAAAAGGAAAAGAATTATTACAAAGTTTATAGGGAAGGAATGCATACTACAGGAAGCACCATGACACAGTTTTACTCTGAGAATATAAATAAAGCTAATGAGAAAGCACAGAGCACCATGCCTTACACAGTGCATGAATCAAAGTTGAAGTTGCATTATACACTAAATTGGCCACCAGATGGCATGACAATTCCAAAATCTTTGAAGGGAGACTAATAGTTATCAGTTTTCCAAATGAATTAGTACCAGTGTGCCTTTTGATTTAAAACCAAAATTTGAAGTTAACATTTTCATGTAATTTCACTTTATCCATTTTATGAAGTAGTTATAGAGAAAAGAGACTTCTATATGCAATTATCAATTTTAATCCCTAAAAGTACCAATTTTCTGATATGGGCTATGGAGAAAAAATCTAATCATCTTACAACTATAATATTTTATTTTAAAGTATGAAAGGATCTTACTCATTTTATAAGTAAGGAAACTATCGCCAGGAAATGTAAAGAAACTTGGAAAAGCCCACACTGTTAACAGTAGCAATAATTAAACTAAATCTAAGTTTTTATTTCTATTACAGGGTTCTTTTCACTACTCAAAAAAGTATAATTTTACTTAAAAAGCCAAACCATTTATTTCTGACCTTATATGCAAGGTTACACTTCAGTCACAGACCTCACTTGTCTCCTTCCAATGTGTTCAGATAAACCTTAGTGGTAAAACTTGATTTCAACAGCCTTCAGATGTTTAGATCATTAAAATAAAGCAACCAACCAATACCAAAGCCAAAACCAAACCCCTGGCTAAACAAATCCAGCTGACTTAGTTTCTGTCATTATTATCTTACTAAAAGAATATAATAATGGGACATTTCCCCACATTAATTTTTTTTTTCATTCTTCAAATGTTACCTCTGCAAATTTGCCTATTTCTTTTCCTTTATCACTTACATTAAAAAAACAAACTCCACCTATTAAAGGCAATCATTTTATAGTATGAAAGCTATATAATCTGACTAGGAGTTTTCCTTGAACCACAGATAATATAGCAGGGTAATACAATTTCAAAAATAAAATAAGATGCCCTACCTAAAATAACCTTTACCATCATCTTCTTTTATTTCTAAAGATACAGATGCCCTACCTAAAATAACCTTTACCATCATCTTCTTTTATTTCTAAAGACACAGAGAAGGTAAAGATGTCACTGTCAGGAGTCTGGGGTGCAGCAGTGGCTGAAAGTGGGGTCTGCTTGGCAGAACGGCGGAAGGCAGTGGCAAAACTGTAGAGTATCCGGCTTACCTACAACCAGACATGTTAGAAAACAGGCTGTTATCACAGGAAATAAAATACTTTTATTAAGACTGAAAGTTACCTATTTTGTCAGGGAGAATAATTCCTTTTATTCTATTGATTTCTTTTTTATAATTATTCCTTAATTTCAGCTTATTGAGGTATAATTGACATAAAATTCTAAGATATTTAAAGTATGTACTATGGTAATTTGATATACCTATACATTGTGAAACCCCAATGATGAATTAACACATCCATGTCATCTTTCCCCCATCCCTTGGTGAGAACATTTAAGTTCTACTCTCCTAAAAAATTTTAATTGTAGCCCTGGCCGGTTTGGCTCAGTGGATGAAGCGTCGGCCTGCGGACTCAGGGGTCCCAGGTTCAATTCCGGTCGGGGGGCATGTGCCTCGGTTGCGGCGCGTCCCTAGTGGGGGGTGTACGGGGGTCAGCTGATCGATGTTTCTCTCTCATCATCAATGTTTCTGGCTCTCTGTCCCTCTCCCTTCCTCTCTGTGAAGAATCAGTGAAATATATTTAAAAAAAAGGAAAAAGGGAAAAAAAATTTAATTGTACAATGCAGTGTTATCACCTATAGTCACCATGATATACATTAGATCCTCAAATTTTATTCATGCAAGTTTGTTCTCATTTACCAACCTCTCCCTATTTCCCTTAGCCCCCAGGCAATTTCTCTTCTACTCTGTTTCTATGAGTTTGACTTTTTTGTTATTTAGATTTCCTAATGACATCTTTTGGTAAATAAAAATAAGTACAAAAGTTTAGCTCTAAAATAATCGTTTGCAAATGTGTCATTGCTGGAACCAAGATGCCAATTTAACCCAGCCAAGAAGCAGCCAACTGGTCTCCTCTGACACTCTCAGCAACAACGTTTTGGTTAACCTACCTTTTAGCTCATTCATATTTCTATCCATAAGGCTGGAATAAACAAAACACTTGCAGAGAATTTCATTTGGCTCATAAGTGACCATAATAAATACTGCAATCATTTCAACACAGTGAAGGTACAGGTGAAATTTCATTTGCAAACAGTATTTGCTTAAGGACTTACAGCTTCTTGTATTTCACATCGGAAGACATGTATCCTAAAGAGCTCTGCATTGTAATGACTTTCAGTGAAAGCAAAACAGTCACTTTCAGGAGTTCCATCATGTCCTCTGACACAGAAGAGGATTTTGTAGATAGGATAGTTTGCTATTTCAGTGTTTGTCTGAGGATCTAAGAGTCTGTCCAGAAAAAAATATATAAAAAGATTAGAGGGATTATGAACTATTTTCACTATATCTATATTATGATTTGAGACTCATCTTTCTAGCAGGAAGTTCATATATACCTTTTGTGGAATTAGCTAACCGCATTAATTTTAAGTCTTGATAATTAAGTCACATATGGATTCCTAAAGTTATTGATTACATAATTTCATTATATTAAAACTACATAATTCCCATATTTTAGGGAGGCAATCAGGAAGGCATAAATAATATCAGTAAGTACATATGTTTCTTATATACTCTGTAACTAAAAACAAGAACAATGAGTAAATTAGTCTTATTAGAATTATTAAAGATGTGCTTCTCATTCTCTCCTAAAAGAATGACCTAATCTGCTTTCTTATCTACTAGAGGCCTGATGCACAAAATTCGTGCAAGATATTCAGCCCTCGCAGCCCCAGCCAGCCCTCGCAGCCCCTCACAGCCTTGGCTGGCCCTCGCAGCCCCGGCTTCATCCGAAAGGTCATCCAGAAGGTCATTTGGCTGTTTGGTCTAATTAGCATATTAGCTCTTTATTATATAGGATAATAATAAAAGCATGATATGCTAATTATACTAGCCATCATTGGGGATGGAGCTAGGGCCAGAGGGAAGCCCGAGTCCCGGGTGCATGCTGGCAGCAGGAGCGAAGCCCGGGCCCTGGGTGTCAGAGGGAAGCCGGTGCTGGCAGCCGGGGGAAGGAAGACCCACTCTTGCACGAAATTCCTGCATCAGGCCTCTAGTTTAAAATAAAAAGCTAGTGTGTTTGTCAGTGTAAAACACGTTCTTTTGACTCACGGCAAATAAAGGGAGAGACACTGTACAGAATGTTAACACTTAAGAAAAAAAATCAATAATAAAAATTTTAAAATGCCATGCATTGCCCTAGCTGGATTAGCTCACTGGATACAGCGTCGGCGTGGGGAATGAAGGGTCCCAGGTTCGATTCTGGTCAAGGGCATATACCTTGGTTGCAGGCACATCCCCAGTAGGGGGTGTGCAGGAGGCAGCTGATCAATGCTTCTCTCTCATCGATGTTTCTAACTCTCTATCCCTCTCCCTTCCTCTTTGTAAAAAATCAGTAAAATATAGTTTAAAAATAAAATAAATATAATGCCATGCATTGAAAATCAAAGAAAGGTCATTCATTCATGAAATATTTATGTGATACCTACAACATTCCAGGCTCTGTTCTGAGCACTGAGGAGACAACTATAAAAGGACTAAAAAGAAACTATGCCACTTCAACAATATTCAGGGGCATCTATGGGGAAGGCCTGTGCATAATGGAAATCTGTAAAAGGGGAACTAATGCAGGTTCAAAGGCACTTTGATAAAACTCTAACTCTGGCTCAATAGCTCAGTTAGTTAGGGCATCGTCCTGATACGCCAAGGTTGCAGGTTCAATCTCTGGTCAGGCACATACAAGAAGCAACCAATGAATGAAAAATAAGTAGAGCAACAAATTAATGTGTTTTGTGTTTTTTTTCTCTCTCTTCCCCTCCCTTCCTCTCTCTCTCTAAAATCAATTAAAAAACATTTTTTAAACTCTGAAAAACAGGACAAGAGAAAATGGTTTTCTTTTATCGTTACAGAATTAAAATAGAACAAAGCATAACTTCAGTCAGGGAAACGACTACAGACTTAGAAGCATATAGAAATGAGTGCTAAAGAAATTTTATTAAAAGACCAGGAGAGTATTATGCTAAGAGAAATAAGCCAGTCAGAGAAAGACAAGTATCACATGACCTCACTCATATGCGGAATCTAAAGAACAAAATAAACTGATGAACAAAATAGATCCAGAGACACAGAAACAGGGAACAGACAGGTGAATCTGACAGAGAAGGCAGGGGTGGTTGGGTGGGAAGAAATTAACCAAAGAACTTATATGCACACATATGCATAACCTATGGACACAGACAATAGTGTGGTGAAGGCCTGAGCCAGGGGTGCTTTAGAAGGGGTCAATGAGGGAAAAACAGGAACATCTGTAATACTTTCAACAATAAAATTTAAAAATTTTTAAAAACTTAAGAAGAAAAAGAAAAGTTTTACATCAGCCCTGGTCAGCATGGCTCAGTGGTTGGAGTGTCGGCTGGTGCACCCAAGGGTCGTGGGTTAGATTTCTGGTCACAGGCACATACCAGGTTGCAGGTTCGACCCCTGGTGCTGGTTAGGGCGTGCAGGAGGCAACAATCCATGTTTCTCTCACATCAAAGTTTCTTTCTCTGTCTCTATCTCTTTCTCCCTCCCTTCTACTCTCTCTAAAAAATATATATATCAATGAAAAAATGTCCTTGGGTGAAGTTTAACAACAACAAAAGTTCCACATTAAAAAAAATAATTAAAATTAGGATTTGTGAAATCGTTCTTTTTTTTTTTTAATATATTTTATTGATTTTTTACAGAGAGGAAGGGAGGGGATAGAGTTAGAAACATCGATGAGAGAGAAACATCGACCAGCTGCCTCCTGCACACTCCCTACTGGGGATGTGCCCGCAACCAAGGTACATGCCCTTGACCGGAATCGAACCCGGGACCCTTCAGTCCGCAGGCCGACGCTCTATCCACTGAGCCAAACCGGTTAGGGCTGAAATCGTTCTTTAAATACTCCAAGAAAAATTACATATGCAGATTTTTGAAATTTTGAATAATTAACTTACTTCTATCCCCATACAAGTAAAACTCTACTAACATGAAAAGCCAAAATGCTTCTGAGGGTCATGATATAAAACTAAGTGAAGAAAGCATGTTACAAGATGGTATGTATATTTCTATTTTTAAAAAGTTTGATTCTAATAGTTCTATTAAGTATACATGCATATATATGTAGTTATATACACACATATATAAACATATACACATACAAATACACAAAGAGGGTCTTGATAAACTAAGATGTAACTGTGTTTATTAATAGAAATAGAATTGAGTATTTTCCTGAATTTTTGCTTATTTATGTTTTCTGATTTTTCTGAAATCAGGGGGAAATGTTATTTTATTTTAGCTGTGTTCATCTGATTATTTAGAATTCTGCATTTAGCTAGTTTCTATACATATTTGTTGTTACTGATTCTATAAAAATGTAGAATATAGTTAGTATAAAAATAGCCATTTCTAGAGACTTTTCTGGGCCTCAGTTTCATCATCTTAAAAATTAAGAAACTGGCCCAGCCAGTGTGGGTCAGTGGTTGAGCACTGACCTATGAATCAGGAGGTCACCGTTCAATTCCCAGTCAGGGCACATGCCTGGGTTATGGGCTCGATCTCCAATGTGGGGCGTGCAGGAGACAGCCAATCAATGATTCTCTCTCATCATTGATGTTTCTATCTCTCCCTTCCTCTCTGGTATCAATAAAAATATTTTTTTTTAATTAAGAAACTGTACTGGAATGGTTAATATTTACCAACAGGTTTTTGTAATTTCCAAAATCAGCATTAAACTCCCTATTGAACTAATGTGTCAAGCTAGTATTTGTACTGGGGGAACACGGAAAACATAAATTGTTAGGCAGACTCTCATGTCAATATATTTCAATTAACCTACAAACATTTACATTTCTAATGTGCTACACACTAGTGGTCGCCAACCTTTCGGACCTCACGGACCACCAGTAGTCCACGGACCACCGGTTGGCGACCGCTGCTACACACAATTGGAGTAGAGAAGAGTATAAAAAAACTGTTCAAACAAGTGACTATTTTTCGTAAGGGTCACAATACTTGGAAGACATGATAACTTAAGTGCCAGAGAACTGAACAATACATGAATAAATGTTCTTGTCTTTTGACTGCTTATTTCTAAAACTACAGGTCAGAAATCTGATCAACTGTGACAAATACTTCAAGAGACTGGTCTTACCTCACAGTTCCCTCAGACACATTTGGCACTGATAGGGTTACATCCAGTGAAATCTGACACTGGCTTCTTAAGATGGACATCATCCTTAAGGCTTCCACTTCACTCCGGGGAGCATTGACTGAGGCACAGCCTAAGTAAGTTAGCTTGCTAAAGACCACACTGTCCTCATCAGCCACTGGTGTGAAAGGACTTGACCCTTCAGAATCTGAAAGAAATGATAATAAGGTGGTTAATTTTGTTTGATATTTTGTTGAATATGAAATCCAAGTAAAAATCTACAAGTCATATTTAGGTTCGAAAATTAAGTACTAATGAGATAATATCCCATTGCTCCAGAAGAAGTGCCCATTAAAGCCAGAAATCTCACACTAGAACTGTCACTAACACCAAAATTTTCAGGTATTGCTGTATTGTCAATCCCGAGTCTAAAAGGTGACCTAAGATTCAGATCCAATTTAACTTTCTGCTTTGCATTTGTTTTGACTTTGTTGTTTACACTTAGGAGAAAACAAAACAAACAAAATAACCCTTTAGTATTTCACCCCTCTGAAAAACCCTATCTGTCTTCTTTCTAATCTGCACTGTTATAATTATTTCTCTCATTCATCATCTTAGCCACTTTATTAAGTTCTCTCAATCCCCTTCTCTCCCTTCCCCAATAAACATCTGCAGTTTTAACACCAATGAGCCTTTCTAATTGCCCTTTTCCTCCTGCAGCTTTTTTTCAATTTGGCAGCTATTCCCACAGAGCATAGGCCTACAGCAAACATCTCTCACCAAGCTTTACCCCTCCATTTGCTCAACACTGTACACAAACTCCTCTTTTAATCATCCTGAAGTAAGATTCCCTAATGTCATTTAACTATTTCCCTTTCTTTGGTATAAATGACAGAATGGTACATCTATTTACTTCCCTCATATTCCCCTAAATCTTGAATCTAAATTCTAGAGAAGACAGATAATGGTTTTTGCTCACTCTGAATCAAACCTAGAATAGGGTAGACGCTCAAATATTAAAAACAATAACCTTCAGTAATGTAAGCAATGCAGCAATCCTAACCTCCTTGTCCAGGTTGCACTGGCAGGCTCATCTCTGGTTTTTGGAGCCCTACTAATGGCACAGGGTTAATGGTGGATGAAGCTGAGAGCGGATTAGAAAGAGGCCCATCTCCTTCGCCATCCAGTTGCGACCTTTCCACAAGCTCCTTTTCCCCTGGCTGGTCGTCCATTGGAGGATCCATTAGCACATCTGCCAACTCTTTTTGCAGCTGCTGCTCACTTCCATTCCCTATAATCTAAGGGTCACAAATACATGCAATCAGCGAAGTGAGAGAGAGGCCAGGTCTGATTCAAATGGGTCTGCATCTAGAGAAAAATCAGCTTTTCTTTTGATACAAAGATATTTTCTGAAATGTTTTTTTAATAGAATAAATCAAGATCTGCAATAAATAAAAGCTGCAACTGCCCTCTTAACTCATGATTTTTTTTCATGAAAAAGTTTAATGACTTTGAGACTAATACCCAGAAATACATGTGAATAGTCTATTAATGTTATTAAAAATTTTCTACAATGTCCTAAACTAACAATGAAAAGATTTCTAATTTTACTGTCTGGTGAAAAACAATGCTGTTAAGAGGAATATCCTTAGCAGCTCCCCTTATTGTCAAGAAAAAGGAAACTGTGTTTGCTTCCAGAAGTTATCAATAGACACATCACTTATTAGGTAATAAAATTTCCCATGTATTTTACCACTCCTGCTGTAAGTACATCTCTTATATTTCTGAGGAAGACTTCTCTGATATGAACAAGTTCTTAAAGCTATGAGACACTTGAATAAAGCAATCTTTCTTTCCCTAATATGTTTCTTCTCTAATATGTATAAAATGTCCCTGAGAAACAGAAGCAATCCATTTTAATAATGTCAAGTATTTTTCTAGAGTCATGATGGTTTATTATTAGTTGCTCAACAAGGAAGCAAACAAGAACAAAATCAAGTGGAGCTTACCCAATGCTAAAGAAAACCACAGTGACAAAACCCAGTATGGACATTAAATGCTTATTCAAGAAAAAATTTAAAAGAATTAATTTAGGAAAAGGAAAGTCATGATGAAAACAAGGTGGCTGATTTGGAGGCTTTCTGAAGATTAAACCCTGACAAAATGTTAAAAGAGGTGAGACTAAGAGACTGTTAGAGAATGAGGTCTTCCCAGTAGAGTCAACACAGAAGTTGGGAAGCAAAATTCCAGTTAACAGAGGTACCTCTGGACTATTGAGGAACCCAGTTCAAACATCTTTCATAACTTACAAACTTCAAGTCCCTTTGGCTGTAAATTATGATTGAGAAACAGTCTTAAGTCCTTTTTGCTGACATTTTCCCAAGGAAATTCTAACGTATCAGCCATTCCTGCCTTGGAAATAAGAGCCAGACAGATGTTCAGCCTCTTAGCTTCAATTACACACAGGTCTGTTCCTGTGAACTTCATTTTATGTTTACAGTCACTGCTAATAGAACTACAAGTGGTTCAAGTCAAGTAATTTTAATTTTTGCTTATGTCTGATCCTACTCCTTCACAACTGCAATCAAAATTCTTTTTTCAGAAGTTGTGTTTTCAAAAGCACCTAGAAAACAAACTAGAAATTAGTTTCAAATAACCTCTTATACTTTCAGAAATACTGAATCACCAGAAGTAAATAAAAGATAACCAAATTGCATCCACACTGTTTTCTAAGGGAAGGAGAACCAACATCGAAGGACAGTTAAGCCCTGGACAGGTAGCTCAGTTGGTTAGAGCATCGTCTCGATATGCTAAGGTTGTGGGTCCAATCCCCAGTCAGAGCATATACAAGAATCAACCAATGAATGCATAAATAATTGGAACAACTAATCAATGTTTCTCTCTCCTTTCTCTCTCTAAAATCAATAATAATAAAAAAAGAACAGTTCAGAGCTTCCTAAAAACAGATGAAGATATTAGATTCCATGTTTAAGAAATTAGTAATTATAACTCAGGAGGCAATCACTAAAAGAATAACCTAATTAGAAAGAAGACATTTTACATGCTACGAAGTATTTTGTTCTTTTCAATATAGGATATACTATGAGTAAAACTCAAGTTTTCTGTTACATTGGCTGCCTATATTGTAATATATTCGCCAATCATGAAAATATACCTAACCTTGAAAAGAAAATATTTATATGTTTATCTTTTGTGTTTAAACATGTGTATTTTGCATTCTTCCCTCGTTTATAAAGTCTATAAACATTAAGAACTGCCTTCTATTTCCTTAACTCATTTTTGAAGGCTAAGAATAAGTAATGTACACACGAAATTTGGTTTTTAAAAGCTGCTTAAAAATAGCAACCTAACATATGCCTTAATAATTAGGTCCAATACAGTACTCAACAATTATCATGTTATATCACTTGTCAACCTTTAATCCAATTTCAAAATTACTATCTGTAAAATTATAATATACATATTTATAATATACATACTTAAATAAATTAAGGTGTTTTTTTAAAGATAGTCCATTAATCTTTCCTAGGTGTATAGGGAAACAGCCTTTCAAGGTTTCAAATGCTGGCCTGCATCCGTCACCTAGAGAACTTGTTAAAACACAAACTGTTGGGCCCTAACAGAATTCCAAATCAGTTAAGTCTGGGGTGGGCTTGATAATTTGCATTTTAAAAATTCCCAGGAGATGGTGATGCTGCTGGTCTGGGGACCAGACTCTAATCACCAACCTTAGATTAACGGTTCTCTAACCATCTATATATATAAAAAAACAGCGACCGGAACACCGGAACGACTGGTCACTATGACGCAGTGTGGCTGGCCAACTGGTCTGATCAGGGGCAGGGCCAGCTGGCCAACCGCCCGCGGCCCCTCCACCCAGCTGGCCCCATCCCGGATCGGCCCCCCATACCCTGGGGGCGGGGCAGACCTGCCCACAGCCCCTCCCCCCCTGCAGGCCTGGCCTGAGCAGCCCCCATTGAGGTGGGCCCGCCGGGCCCCACCCGTGCACGAATTCACGCACCAGGCCTCTAGTGACTACATAACACAATTGCCAATAGTACCAGGGACCATGTTAAATTCAAACAACTGCTCCTCCCTTTGTCCCCTCACTTCCCACTCTGACAACTCATTAGTCTCAGAAGTAGAGCCTGGGCATATGCATGTTTAAGAAATTCCACAGGTGATTTACAAAATAGATAGCAGGTTAGATTAACCCAGCAGACTTGTAGTTTCTTGATGCCTGGTATAGATGAACAACAGCTGAAACAAACCAGCAACTGCTTATCTCTAAACTTTTTGCTATAACAGGAAATAAACCCACAATTAATAGGGCCTTCTGTTCTGTGCTGTCAAAAGCATTCCTAACAGATAACACAATCATATTTAAATAAATATAATTGCAGTCAATCAAGATGTTGTGATATTAATGAAAGGGCAGACATATAGATCAGGGGTCCTCAAACTTTTTAAACAGGGGGCCAGTTCACTGTCCCTCAGACCGTTGGAGGGCCGGACTATAGTTTAAAAAAAAACTATGAACAAATTCCTATGCACACTGCACATATCTTATTTTGAAGTAAAAAAAACAAAACAGGAACAACTACAATATTTGTATTTGCATGTGGCCCGTGGGCTGTAGTTTGAGGACCCCTGATATAGATCAATGTAACAAAATAGAATCCAGAAATAGATCCAAATATATATGGCAAATTGGTTTCAGCAAAGTTGGCAAGGTAAATCAAGGGAGAAAGGTAATAAAACAAATGGTGCTAGAACAATAATTTGACACCTATACACATGCAAAAACATTAATCACAACCAATACTTCATATCATATACAAAAATTAATACAAAATGGATCACAGATCTAAACATAAATTCTAAAACTATAAAACTTATAGAAAAAATAGGAGAAAATCTTTGCAATCTCGGGATACAATTTCTTAAGGCACAAAAATTATGCATAAAAAAATTGATAAAATGGGTTTTGTCAAAACTATAAATGTCTGCTCAAAAGTTACTGTTAAGACAATGAAAAGAGAAGCCACAGACTTGGAGGAAATATTTGCAAACTATATATGCTATGAAGAATTTATATCCAGAATCTATAGAAAATTCTTATAAGCCAATAATAAGAAAACAAGCAACCCAATTAAAAAAATAGACATTTCACCAAAGATACATGAATGACAAATAAACATATAAAAAAAACTCAGTATCATTAGCCATTTGAAAAAATCAAAACCACAATAGTATGCCTCTATACACCTGTAAGAATGGCTAAAATTAAAATAAAACAATTCTGACAATACCAAGGGCTGGCAAGGATTGGAGCAACTGAAAAACGCTCATGTATTGCTGGTGGGAAGGCAAATGGTACAATCACTTTAGCTTGTTTTTTGTAAAATTTTATAAAGTTAAATATATACTCACCATATGACTCCCTCCTAGGTATTTACTGAAGAAGGCTAAAAACATAAGTCTACACAAAGACCTGTGTGCAAATGTTTATAGCAGCACTAATCATAATCACAAAAAAACTGAATAAAAAGTAGTATTTATTGACGGGTGAATGGATAAACAAATGCCTATGGCCTCTATACAATAGAATACATCTCAGCAATGAAAAGTAATAAATTACTAATACACACAGAAACAAGGATGAATCTCAAAGGCATTATTCTAAGTAAAATAAGCCAGACACAAAAGGCTATATACTGTATGATTCCATTTATATGGCATTCTGGAAAAGGCAAAACTATAGGGACAGAAATCAGACCGTTGTTTGCCAAGGGCTATGAAGGAGGGAAGAGGATTGACTAAAAAGAGGCATAAAGAGACTTTTGGGGTGATGAAAATATTCTGCATTTTGACTATGATGGTGGTGGTGACAAAAAAGTTTACATTCATTCAAGGTCACATAACTAACTATACATCTAAAAGGGTTGAATTTTACTATGTATAAATTTTACCTTAATAAACTTGACTTAAAATAAAACAGAAAGAATATATTGAGGTAGGGGGCAGGGGCGGGATGGGAGAGGTCAATAGGGAAAAAGGGAACATACGTAATACTTTCAACAATAAAGATTTTTTTAAAAAGAATATACTGATCATGCTCTCCCTCCCAGGAGCATACCCGTGCCTTTCCTTCCCACCTCTCACGGCATCGCCTAAACCCTAAGGGACCCCACAAGTCTTCTAACGGGAACAATGGGCAGTCGCACCTCATCCAGGGCTAACCCTCTGAACCTGGCTCCAAGGCTCCCTGTTCTCT